TGCAGTGGCCGGACATGCAATGTACCGTCCCACGTTTCTGCATGTGCTCTCTTCCAACTGGCTGGGCTGCCCTCCACAGACTTGACCCTCACCCAGCCTACCTGGGAAGTTCTTATTCTCCTAGGCACACAGATCAGGTGCCACCTCTTCCCTCAAGCCTATACTGAACTATGGGAGAAAGTACCCATTCTGCATTTCTGTCCTCACCGTGGGCGTGCTCTTCCACTATATGGCACCCATCACATGTCGTAACCCTTACATGTCTATTTGTCCATCTTTTTCTCTACATTTTTAACTCTTTGAGGACAGGGTTTATCGCTACATATCTAATTTGTCTTTGGGTCTCCAACAGCACTTGTACAGAGGCACACAGTAAAGGTTTAATAAAATCTTGTTGATTAATTTCTAAGATCTTTTCCAGCTCTAAAATTCTGTGATTCAGAGACGGGACAAAGGTCAGCATAATAATTGAGAATCTGTCAACCCACTCCACCTGAAATTGTAAATTTGGATTTTCGTATTGAGGTTTTCTTAAACAGCCTGTGGGCAGCAAGCAGCAACTATAGATGCTACGCCAGTTGTTGGTCTTCTCCTGGCTCAACCCGGAGCCCCATCTGCTTCAAAGGTGTTAAATAAAAACTGTTACCGTGTCTTTCTGTAATCCCAAACAAGGCCAGGAACGGATGCCTAGAGTGTCATACCACCTCTTAACACAAGAGAGCAAAAGTGAGCACTTGTTTGTGTTAAAACGTCTGGCCACCAGATGGACCCCAAACACCAGTGTATAGAGGCAAGGACTTCATTTAGCTCAAGTGCACTTGGAATCAGCTTTCCTTTATTCTCTCTTCCTGAAAAGAAAAATCTCTTCCGCAGGTGACTGGCAGCTGTCTGGAGCTATTTGCACTCTTCTTAGGAAGAAGAAATATGGCAACAGAGAGAAGCACCACTAGGAACTTTTAAAAAATTGGTTAGAATGAGATGTTCTAGCTCAAATAAAAGAACCAGAAATATGGTTGAGGACTGGGTATTTAGATGACTCCAAAGAATTGTCACTAACTTTTTTTGGTTTGTTAATGGTGTTTTGGTTAAGAAAATAGCAAATATACATAAGTAAACGCAAAACAAAATAACCCACCGACCACTGTGGAGTTGATTCCCGTCGTAGGACAGGGTAGAACTGCCTCATAGGGTTTGCAGGGCTGTAATTGCTGGCGTAGTGCCTAAGGCATTTGACTGCTAACCAGAAGGCTGGCGGTTCAAACCCCATAGCCACTCCTCAGAAGGAAGATTGGGCAATCTACCTCCGTCATGATACCGCCTTGGAAACCCACCACGGAGGGGTCACTATGAGACAGATCCGACTCCACAGCAGTGTGTTTGGTTTTTCAGTTTAATCTTTATGAAAGCAGACTGCCTCATCTTTCTCACTCAGAGAGGCTGGTGGGTTCGAACAATCACCGACCTTTCGGTGAACAGACAATCACCTAACCACTGCGCCACCAGAGCTCCTAACAATACCCCCCCCCAAAAAAAAAAAAAAAAAAAAAAAAGTTCTTGGACGGGAAATCCCAACCATACTCAACAAATTATATTCCTGAAAACCTGGCGTTCTCATCATGGAGCAAACCACCAAAACGTGAGGTGTTTGCAAAGTGGAGAAACCTCTCATAATTTTCCAGAGCCAAGAAAAAAATTCCAGGCCATGTTGTGCTTTGAATAAGGAGCTCTGGTAGTGTAGTGCTTAAGGCATTTGACTGCTAACCAGAAGGTTGGCAACTCAAACCCACCAACCATTCCCACTAAGACTGGACAATCTACTTTGGAAAGATTTACTGCCTCAGAAACCCAAAAGAGGGTCACTATGAGTCGGAATCAACTAGATGGCAATGAGTTTGGGGTTTTTTGGTGTCTTGTCTTGTTTTGTTTTGTTTTTTGTCCTGCTTTAAGTATCCAGAAAGTAATGAGCAGGCCTGCCTGGCCAGGACCACCTAGTGCTTGGTGGACAGGACGTGGGAGGGGATTGGGTGGGAGGAGCTGGGGCTGCAGAAAGCTAATCCTCCAAACCTGCTTGAGGGCAATTGTCCCAACTTGCTTTGCTGCGAAGGACAGCAAACTCAGGAGATTTTTCATGTTAGTTTTGGGCAGATCTCTGGAATTTATATTTTCCATAACTGCTTTCAGGTCCCTACGTTAAAGATAGTTGGTCATCATTTACTTCAAGTAACAAATTTCCATTAAAAACAAAGATTCACACCCAGATAGTATGGACAAAACTGCTCTAAGGGTGTGAGGTGTGACAACTCAGAACTGAGCAAGGGAAGCTGTCCAGGGGGCCTCATGTTGTTTAAAGTTTGGAGCCCCCAAAAGAGATCATTCCATATCCTGCTTTTCTTCACAGACTTGTGCTGTTTCTCCTCAACTAAAAGAGAACTTTTTATAGGATTTATATGATTATAGGAGATATTTTCAGTCATGAACAGGACTATTAAGACTATTGCTCTTTTTCAGTAGAGCCCAATTACAATTACTGTTCATTTACCTGTGTTCACCAAAATGACTACTGAAGCTAATTACTGACACTGCAACGTAGAAATGTGAAATTTCACTGTTGAGATGTCAATCTATTTGAAATATGTCCTAGTTTTACTTTCTTGTTGGAAAGCTCTCCTGACGAATCTCTTGACAAAAGCTAAGTCCTCCCCTAAGTGAAGCTAATCAGAGTAGAACCATCAGTATCCTGAAAAAAGCCAGATTGGCAAGTGATCTGGTCCCAAAGGTGAGTCCCAGGTTAGCCACTTACAGCCATGAGACCTGGAGCAAGTCAGCTTTCTTAAGCCTCCATTTCCCACCTAATAATGCTCCCTCTCAGGGCTGTGTGCCTGGCACACGCTGGGCCCTCAGAACTGTTAAGTTTCCCTACTCTCACCACCAGCCAAGAGTAGCCATGCTACCTGAGACACCTCAGATGTACTCATCAGGTCATGTCTCCATCACCTCAATTCCAATCTTCTCGTCCATCTCCATTTTCATGTACACGGTAGGCATCCGTATCCACAGTTCGCACTCCCCACCTGGGTCGCTCCTTACTCACACAGGCCTACATTACTCCCCCTAGCCACCCTCACACACTCTCACAAAATCCTAGTTACATACAGCTCTTTACTTTATAGCTCACTATGTCCAAGGGCCAAAGAGGAGGGAAGTGTGTAACAGAGCCTAATGTTTTCCTAACCTTGTCATCAACAGGCCACAGTTAAAGGGTATACATAGAGCTACAACCACATGAATTGGAGAAAAGGGGGAAATGTTTTTAAGTTAGGGGAATCAAATCGAGTAAGAAAAGGCAAATTATCCAATAGAAAAGTGAAGAATGTAAACAGGAAATGAAATGCAAAAGACATAACCTTGTGAAAATATGGTCTGGCTTACTCAAAATGAAGACAAATCAGAAGAATGAGATTTGACTTTTCACCTGTCACATTAACAAAAATTAAAATGATAATGGCCAGTGTTGGCAGGTGTGTGGAGAAACAGTCACTGTTAGACACTATTGATAGGATTATAAATTGGGCAATTAACAATATGGAAAATTTAAATACAAAACTATATTAAATCAACATCTTTCATCAAAAGTGAAAAGATAACAGATCGGAAAAGAGATTTTTTAAACATCTAACAAACAACAGAGTAATAAGTACAAAACATAATGAAATTCTAAAAATCAGTGAGACAAAGACCATCTAAAAGGTAAAATGGGGAAAGGCAATTTATATAAGAGGAAATATGCATGATCAAAAAATACATGAAAAGATGCCCAACCTCACTTGTAATCAGAGAAACATAAATGAAAAGCACACCAAGAAAGCATTTCACACCAAATTTGCAAAAATTAAAAGGTCTGACAATACCAAATGTTGGTGAGGATATGGAGTAACACTGACTGCTGATATGAGTATAAATTAGCAAAACCACCTTATAGAAAAATTTCCTATATCACTGAAGACTACCACATTCTATGAACTAGCAACTCAACCCCACTCTAGGCTTATCCCTAGAGAGATTTGCACATATGTATAAGCAGGAGACATACACACATGCCACAACAGCATTGTTTGTAATAGAAAAAAAAATCTGGTACAAACTTAATGTCTATTAACCAGAAAATGGATGCATATTCAATAGTGAAAATAAGGTTTTAAAAGGTACCAAATGGAAGAGGGAGCTCTGTTAGCTTAGTGCCTAAGGCACTTGACTACTAACCAGAAAGCTGGTGGTTCAAACCCACCAGCCACTCCTCAGAAGGAAGGTTGGGCAATCTGCTTCCAAGTGACACTGCCTCGGAAACCCAAGAAGGGGTCGGATCCGACTTGACCGCGCATAACAACAACAACAACGCGGAAGAATCTCAGGAATAAAATATTGAGCAAAAGATACAAGTTTCAGAAGGATACATTCAATAAAATATCACTTCTGTTATCACATGCAAAGCATTGCATGTGAATGATAAATACCAAATTCAGAATCATGGCGTCCTCTGGGTGATGGAAAGAGATGGTAATCAAGGTGGAACAAAGGAGGATTTACTTGTGTTGACAGTGTTCTGTTTTTTAAGCAGACAGTGGGTAGTGAGCACACAGGTATTTATTCTTCTTTAAGTCTTTTTTTTTTTTTTTTTAGATGTTGGTTCAATTTCTACACCTGGAGATATCAAGCATCAAGAGAATATGAGCAACATCTGAGCTCATCGGGCCTCCCAATCTGCCAGATCTAATGAGTAGACTTACTGTATCTGTCTATTCATCCTTTCTGATTCCCCATGAATATGTTGACACATTTCCTTGCTTGTTTTGCATGGCTTCTGACCTTAGCAGAAGATCCAACAATACCAAAGAGGACATCACATGCAAATTTATAGATTATAGATTGATGTGATTTCTAGGGTCATTAGCATGGTGGTTTTAGTGGGTCCCAGTTTTGGGGTAGAATGCCACAGCAAGCGTTCAGACCGTGACAGTTGCTCCTGCAGTCATTTCAGGTGCACTGAATGCACCGTACGAGAGAGTGTGCTTCTTCTTCCACTAATTAGTCACAGTTGAGATGTTCAGAAACTTTCTGGGGTAAAGTCTGACATAGTTGAGTGACTTATCATGCTCCCATATTCAAATATATCACCTAATTTATTTTTTACTCTTTCATAAGCTTTTAGAAATACTGGTATCTCATGTGCCACCAGTTGTAGGGCTATTGTGTCATCCAAGTATTGCTAGAGATATCCTTTGATGGTATTGTACATTGTCATTTCTACATAGCTTATGACCATGCGGACTTGCTCCATCAGTTTCTTGCCTGGGAATTCAGTCTATACTAATTAGATTACAGACCAGTGCAGCAACCCATGGTTGCTGGCTGATCTGATCTATAACTGGTCCTGCAGGGTATCCAATGAGCAGATTTGCTGTATCTCTATATTCATCCTTTCTGATTGCCCATGAATATGTTGACACATTTCCTTACTTGTTTTGCATGGCTCTGACCTTAGCAGAAGATCCAACAACAATACCAAAGAGGACATTACATGCAAATGTATAGAATGATGAGATTTCTAGGGTCATTAGCATGGTGTTTTGGTGGGTCTCAATTTTGGGGTAGAATGAATCTGTAGAGACCATGCTTTGACTTCCTTCTCATAGAGGAACAGGCTTTTGCAAGGCTGAATATGGCTACACATGTTCATGCTGCTAACTCATTTCTACTTGCAAAATTACTCTTATGTAACACTTGCTGAGGCAGCTTTGGACATCCAAGGCCCTAACACTAGGCTACCTTTGTTCACCAGAGCCATAAAAACCCCTGCTTCCCTCCAAAGGGTACAGAGACTTGAGTCTGCCCTACTGCCACCCAAGACATTGCCTTGTAAGTGAGCCTTTAATAAACTCCTATACCACCACCCTGAAGCTGTAACCTTAATTCTTTGGTCTCTCAGATTGCTCCATATTTGGGGACAAATTCAGAGTTGCTGGTATGTCCCCAAACACTTTTTCATCTTTAGCAATACATGCTGATCTAGCCTTAACTCCAATAGCTATGAGAGCTACATGTAATCCATCTGTAAGTCTGCACATAAACACCAGCCCAGAAGTGACTTCACTGAATCACCAAAGACTGGAAAATTGCTGTGGTCTTCCATTTTGGGCATGATGATTTGAAGTCTTTGAGAAGTGTTCCCTCTATGTTGTTTTATATGTCTTAAATTGTTCAGAATAAACTTTTAAAAAATGTAATGTATATATAAAAACCGGAAAAACCAAACTCACTGCCATCGAGAAGATTTTGACTCATAGTGACCCCTCCTTGGGTTTTCTGAGGCAGCATCACTATGGAAGTAAATTGCCCCATCTTTCTTCAGAGGAATGGCTGGTGGGTTTGAATCACCAGCCTTCTGGTCAGCAGTCAAATGCCTTAGGCACTATGCTACCAGAGCTCCTAATGCATATATACTTTCATGTAATTCCACTGCTAGGACTTCATCTTACATATATATATATTAATACATGCACAAGTATGCAACAATATATACAAAGATGTTTATTATAGCAATTTATTTTAAAAATATTTAAAACCTAGAAACAACCTAAATATGGAAATATTACACAAAATATTTAATGAAGCACTAGAGTTAGACAGCCATTAAAAAGAAGGAGATATATTTGTATATGTTGTTGTTGTTAGTTGTCATGGAGTCAATTCCAACTCATGGAAACCCCATGTGTACAAAGTAAAATTCCATAGAGTTTTTAAGTCTATGACCTCTCAGAAGCAGATTGGCAGGCCTGTCTTCCAAGGTGCCCCTGATTAGGTTTGAACCACCACCCTTTGGGCTATTGGTTGAGCATTTAACCATTTATGCCACCTAGCCACCTATGACTTGTTAGTAAGGATATATATTTAAATGAAAAAGAATCACAGAAATAGATCAATTGTATAACAATGTTGTTAAGTGCTGTGGATTGACACTCATTCGTGACAAGCTTACATACAACTGAACAAAACATTGCCCAGTCCTGAGTCATCTTCACTATTGCCAGCATGTTTGAGTCTGTCCATTGTCGCAGCTATTGTGCCAATCCGTCTCACCAAAGGTCTCCCACATCCTCCTGGGCCCTCTACTTCAGCAAACATGTGTTCTCCTCTAGCGATTGATGGCTCCTGATGACACGTCCAAAGCAAGTAAGTCAGACAATGTTCTGTTGTGATCTATAAGGTTTTTATTGTTTGATTTTTGGAAGGAGATCACAAGCCTCTCCCCCTAGTCTGTCTTAGTCTAGAATCTCCACTGATTCCCGTCCACCATGTATCACCCTGCTGGTATTTGAAATACCAGTAGCATAGCTTCCAACATCATAGGAACCTGTAAGCCATCACAATATGGTGGATTGGCAGATAACTGGTAGGTAAAAACCTTAGTTATGATGCGTATCTATACATTTCTGGATTTTTTTTCACAAGAAACTATTAACTTTGATCATCTCAGAAGAGTGAGAACGGGTAATGGGAGGGAACCTTATCCTTTTCCTTTTACGATCTTCAGAATGATTTGAGTTTCTCTTCTTACCGTAAGTATGTACTGTCTTTACAATAATGCAAATAAACAGATAAATCAGTGGAAAAAATAAATAACAGCATAGGATTAGGATGCTGGTTTATCTAAATTCTATTTTAAAAGCAAAAATCACATGAACTTCTCTTAATCATTTTTTTATATTTATTCCTTTGGGGATAGATACCACTCGAAGCGATGAATCCAAAAAGTGTGCTTTGTACAAGGTAGTAAATATCACTGCAATTCGAGTAAATGATCTGTGGTTCTTTCATCACTTCATGGAACTGTCTGCAGAGTGTTTTACCAATATTGACTTGATTTTAAATCATCATTCTAAAAATCAGAAGCTGTTTTTTCACCTCCAAGTGCTTGTAGTTTAAGGAAGAAATTCCAAGAACAAATAAGAACTTGAAGCACATTAGCAGAGTGGGCCAGCAGGCCCCACCAAGTTGGTTCCTCATGGGCCTTAGTGACATGGGATGTTGCACACCTGGGTTCCTGCCTTGGAGCCACACTGGCCTGCTCCACTAGTTCATGTTCCATGGCTAGTACCTGGGCAGAGCTGAGCAACTGGCATCATCACTAGAGTCAACAGTTGGCCTGAACAGTAGGCACACCCAGGGTCTGCAAAGCCTACTTTGGCTCAGGCAGAGAGTCTGTGGCTGAAAAGGAAGAGAACGCAGCTGAGTATAGAGACAGGCTCAGGGTGCAGGTAACCCAGGAGCAAAACCCCATTTCCTGGCATAGCCTCTGGGTCAGGAGTGGAAGCAGAGCCAAGTAATTGAGACTCAGGCCCTCCTCATGCCGCTGAAATCAGAAATAAATTATATCTATTTTACTGAGCTAATGGGTAAATTTATTTCCAAAACTTTGGAAACCTTTGAACGAGAGGGTACTCTTAGACATGCATTTCTAGAATATAATAATACAACTTTTTACAACTAGCTCTCCATTTCTTTAGCAGTTTAAAAAAAAAAAAAAAAAAGACCTTTTAATTCCTTTCCTCCCAACTTGCACGGTTTCTGGGAGGCTCAAATGAGGTAATAACAATCTTCAGCTAAGAGGCTCTTAGGAAACAAATTTTTTATTTCCTTCCTTCATAATGGAGTGTATTTCCAGTTCAAATAAGATTGTGTCCTGCAAACAAAACTGTGGGTTTCTAGAAGGACGAAGAAGAGTAGGAAGAAAAAGGAGGAGAAGGAGTGGACAACAACAGTTCAGTTATAATTTAAAAGGGGTAGACTGATGGATGCTACAACATGGCTGTACCTTGAAAACACTGTGCTGTTTGAAATAAGACACAAAAGGACAAATATTGTATGATCCTACTTATATGAAATACCTAAAATAGGGAAATGCATAAGTTTTATCAGTGGTCACCCAGGGCTGGGGGAAGAGGGAAATGAGGAGTTCCTGCTTAAGGGATACTGACTTTTTGTTTGGAGTGATGAAAAACTTTTGGAAAGAGATAGTGGTGACGTTTTCACAACATGGTGAATGTAATTAATGTCACTGAATTGGTTTACTTAAACATGGTTAAAATAGTAAAATTTTTGTTATTTTATCACAATAAAATTTAAAGAGAGAGGGAGTGTTCAAGCATCTGGCACTTAACGGAAATGAGGAAGAGGGGTGGTGAGGTGGAAGGGAAGTGGCAGAGCAAGGACGCTTACATGTATTAAGCACCTGCTGTGCTGCAGTGCCTAATGGATTTGACTCCTAATCAGATGGTTGGAGGTTCAAACCTACCAGCTGCTCCCCAGAAGGATGATGGTGCACTCTACCTTCATAAAGATTTGTTGTTGTTGTTGTTATGTGTCGTCAAGTCGGACCCGACTCATAGCGACCCCTCCTTGGGTTTCTGGCAGTATCACTATGGAAGTAGATCGCCCAACCTTCTTTCCGAGGAGTGGCTGGTGGGTTTGAACCACCAGTCTTCTGGTTAGCAGTCAAATGCCTCAGGCACTATGCTTTATAAAGATTTACTGCCTTGGAAACACAATGGGGGTCGCTATGAATCAGAATTGACTTGATGGCTGTGGGTTTTGCTTTGTTTTGGTTTTGTGGTGTGCCAAGCTAGGAGCCCTGGTAGCTCAGTGTTAACTGTCTGGCTGCTAACCAAAAGGTCTGTAGTTCGAACCCACCGGCCTCTCCATGGAAGAATGATGTGACAATCTGCTTTCATAAAGATTTACAGCACTGGAAACTCTATGGGGTAGTTCTACTCTGTCACAACAGATCACTGTGAGTCAGAATCAATTCAATGGCACAAAACATGTGCCAAGTCCTGGGTAGTGTTCAAGATGTTTCTATATTTTGTTTATCCTCTCAAAATATGATGCAGTTGTCATTACACCAATTTTATACATGAGAAAACTAAGGTTAAGAGAGAATGAACAGCATAGCCAAAGACAGAGAGATACTACTCCCCCAAGTTGGCCTGCCTCCAGGGTGCATATTCCTCCACCGCCCTGCCACTGGTTCTTTCTTCTAAGTGTGGGTGTTCCACAGCCCCATTTCTCTTTCTATACATTATCACTCTTTAAGAGGTACAGTACTCCTTTTACCTCTTGGATTATTTCTTCCATACAGACTCACTTTTCCAAATTTCCAGCCCCTTGAACATTTCTCCAGAGTGCTGGTGACACAGTGGTTAAGGCATTCAGCTGCTAACTAAAAGATCAGTGGTTCGAACCCACCAGCCGAATCTCGGGAGAAAGATGAGGCTGTCTGCTTCTGTAAAGATTTACAGTCTCAGGAACCCTATGGGGCAGTTCTACTATGTCTTAAAGGGTCACCATGAGTCGGAATCGACTCACTAGCAGTGGGTTTGGTTTTTTGCTTTTGAACATTTCTCAGTTGAGATCCTTCCTACTGTCCTTACAAACACATCATCTGTAAAAGAACTTCCTCATCTTGCCCCTCACAGGCCCCACTCCACCTTGGGGTTCCCCACTTCTCCCAGCCTCCCAAACTCAAAATTACCATCACTTTTGGCCATTTCTCCCCTTCACCATATACAATCACTCGACTATCTCAATTCTTTCTTCCAATTATCTCTTACCTCTCACTGTTGATTTCTACTCTTTCTCTTAATATGCTCACACAAGGAAACTTGTGTCTCCCTGGTTCCTTGCAGAAGCCTTCAACTGGTCTACCTCTGTGCTTTCAGTTCATCCTGTCCACGGCTATGAGGTTTATTGTCCATAAAAACCACCCTTATCGCACCACATCTGCACTCCCACCAGTTGCTTTCACTGGATCAAGTCCACACTCAGCCCCGTACTCAAGGCTGCCTGCATCTGTTCTCCCTACTTCCTACCCACACACAGACACACAGCTTTCCCCACTTGTGCCTCACTCTTCTACTTCCCAATTACTCAGTTTAACCAAAAAGATTGTTTGCTATACTGAAAGCCCTCCCCAACACCCTGCTCCTTTTCCTCCCCTCTCCGTTTGTGGCACCCTTGTTACCCCATGGACTGCTCCCCTACTCCCTACTACCCCACCTCTTCAACCAGGGCCTTCGGAGCCCTCCTCCCAAAACAGCAGCATTCATTATCTGAACTGTTCACTGGGCAATGAATTATGTACTGCGTAATTAATACTGTATGTAACTCTCTTCTGTTTGGCCTGGAACAAGCATTGGCACCGACTTTGTTGTTGTTGTTAGTTGCCGTAAAGTGGATTCTGACTCATGGTGACGCCATGTGTGCAGAATAGACCTGCTCTATAAGGTTATCAAGGCTGTGTCCTTTTTGAAACTGACTAGCATTATCTAAAAGAGCCTTGGTAGAGCAATGGTTAAGCTGTTGGTTGCTAACAGAAAAGGTGGAGGTTAAAACCCACCAGCTGCTCTGTGGGAGAAAAGACATAGCAATCTTCTTTTGTAAAGATTACAGCCCAGGAGACTCTGCAGGGCAGTTCTACTCTATCCTGTAAGGTCACTAGGAGTAGAATCAACTCCATGGCACAAAACAGCAACAGTGTTGTTAATCTCTCCCATACTCTATCTCCTCACTCCAAGCAGTACAAACCACTTAAAGGCGAAGACAGTTCTGATAGTTCTTTGTTTCTCCCTGCAGTGCCTAATAGGTAGGTAGTAGGTGCTTGACAATATATGTGTTGATTTCCTTTCTTTTTCCCACATCTTACCCACTGCCATGTAGTCAATTCTGACTCATGTGATCCTATAGGACAGAATAGAACTGCCCCATTGGATTTCCAAGGCTGTACTCTGTAGGGAAGCAGACTGCCTCCTCTTTCTCCTGCAGAGCAGCTGGTGGATTGGAATAGCCAACCTTTTGGTTAGAGGCTGATTGATGCTTTGACCAATGCAATGCCAAAACTCCTTTTCTTCCCATATAGTTGGCCTCCAAAAAATAGCCAGGGCTAGTCAGAATAATAAGCAATAGCCTTAGAAATCTGATTTTGGCAGCCCAAATCTATCACAGGCCATTTTCATCTTAGTCGCTCAGCTCAGGGTCCTCCACAGGCATCCAGGATATGAGCTGCTCTGGTAAGATGCTGGTCAGAGAGGTCTGCTGCCAGCCATCCCTGTGAGGCAGCCCAACCCGCCTCTGCCTGCTTATTTGGTGATAGTATTTCCACGCTCTTCCCTGGTTCCAAGCTAAAAGGAAACATCCCAGGTTATTAATTGATTTAATTTTTTTTTTTTAATAAAATAAAACTCTGGCACCCTCATTGGTGATACCACCTCCAGGCCGGCTGAGTAGCCATCTAAAGCACGCGGGGTACCCCTGCCCTTAGGAGAGAAAGAAGGCACTGCACCTTTAAGTCTGCAGCCAGTTGAGAAAAACAAGCTGTGATTTATATAAGCGGGAAAATCATGTGATTTGCAGGAACGCTCCCTCCTCCTCCTCCTCCTCCTCCTCCTCCGGTCCCCTTCCCGCGTCGCCGCCCTAGCCTTTCCGAGAGCGGCCGGCCTGGCTGGCTGGCTGGCTGGGCGGGCGCGGGCGCGGGCGCGGGCGCGGGCGGGAGCCGCCAGAGCCTCCATTCACAGAGCCCGGGGCCAGGCGAGCCCGGGGTGGCTGCAATGACAGGGGCCTCCCTCTACATTGTTCATTTCTGCTGCTCTTCCCTGGTGGCCCTCGGACGCCAGGAAAGCCGGCGTTGGGCCTCTGGAGTGCAGTAGAGTTTGGTCCCCAAACAATCTCGGCAGATTTAGGAGGATAGGAGGGTTCCCCGTGAGTCCCGCCGTAGTCTGTCCAATCGATCGCACAAAGCCCATAGCTGTACTGTTGGGCCACACCTTCCAGGTCGGGTGGGCCTACTCCCTCTCGGGCAAAAGTATGCGATGGAGAAACTAAGGCTTACCCCACAACTTCCGAAGGAAAAAGGGAAAGCCAGGGGGCCCCACAGACTGGCAGGTCTGTCCTGGAGCACCCAGCGGTGGGGCCTGGGGTGGGGGGCGTGAGCAATTTAAGAAATGTGTTTGGAAAAGGACAGAATGATGAAAATAAGCCATTTCTAGAGCTGAGAGGGGGAGCTCTGGTAGCATAATGCCCAAGGCACTTGACTGC